GATTTATAAAGCGTAAACTGCACCAACCCAGTTTATACCGTATAAAATTGGTAGCTATTAAATTCATTCCTTAAATGAAAGTAAATCAGTTCTGATATTCAATTCAAAAGTCTTTTTATCTGTTTATTCTGCAAAAGTCAAATAAATTGTGGAATAAAATACGTTAGGAAGATTTCCATGTCAGCTATCTAAGGGAAATGTACCTCTACTTTAAACAAGCATTCTGAGAGCATTGCATTAGCAATACTAGTCCCCTACCGGCAAGTGTAATCTGGTTCCCGTAAAAAAAATGAAAATGCCATAATTCCGTCAAAAATCATTGAAGTAGAACAAAATACAAACTTAATCTATAACTAATCAAGGTAAAGTCACATATCAAAAATCAGCTCAATATCTGCAAGCATTTAGAAAAAAATTTCGGAAAACTGTTAAAAATTGAAAAGGTCGTAATTCCGTCAAAAATCAATAAAGCGGAACAAAATGCTTACTTGATCTGTAACTCGTCAAGATACACTCACATACCAAAAATCAGCTCAATATCAAGTGGGACAGACTGAGAGACAGACAGAGGGACAGACAGACAACGCAACGTAGTTTGAACTTTATTGTCTTTTCCCCTGGAGTTGAGGAGTTCCAATACTGAAAAGAACTGTGTGCTACATTTTAATGATATATATTCTGTTGTACACTTAATCAGTTTTAAACATTCCTCTTTTTTATAATAGTTCAAGATCGGGTTCGTGCTGCACTATATTGTTACAAAACGAGGTTGTCAGGTTTAAAATTATTGATTTCAAACTTGCTAGGTAGCTTTATAATGACAAACTATAGATCAAGTTTGAATTTTGTCACGTTTTACCAACAGGTGCTAGAGTAAATTAGTTTTAAGCATTCCTCTTTTTTATAATCGGGTTCACGATCGGGTTCGTGCTGCACTAAAATGTTCCAAAATGAGGTTGTCGATTGTGACAGAAGACGGTAAAGTAATATTGTGCATTGTTTTCAGCAATTCCTACCTGCGAATACTTAATATACTTGGCGAAATAATACCAGATGCAATAAAGACTGAATATTTTTCCCGATTTGAATTGTTTTTCACACGCCTATTTATTTATAAGTGAAACATGTTAAAGGCAGAGATTTTTTACCGGGTGGTAAATGTCAGGTTAGGGAAAACTAGTAACGTAAGCAATGTTGTCATGTTATTCATACATTATGTGATTTTAATCAAACACGTCTTTGTAAGACAGATTTCATTCCAACATTTCATTCATAAAAAAGTAATCCGAAATGTCCACATTTGGGGGGGGGGGGGCAGTTATCATATACAGGGTCTTATAAAATGACATCCTAAAAAGAAAAGGGGAAACCGGTAGGGGACATGTATTGCTTATGCAATACTCTCAGAATGCTTGTTTATATAACCTTGATGGCAGATCAGCCTGCAATAAAAGGATGTGCGTAAGTGTGACCCAAAAAAAGCGGAGGGGGATTCCACGTTACTTACCATCTTGTGAAACAGATTCTGAACTACATTTAACGAATAATGGTGAAAATCATGACATAAGGGCGGATTCATAATTTTTGCGCGGCTTGTTAGAAAGGGTGGGATGGGGTGTTACACTGCTAAAATTTTATTAATAAAAGAAAATAACGTAAATATTTTGAATGCTTTTTCGTATACTTTTAAAGAAATCTGAGCATCCTGATTTTTTTTTTTTTGGTTAAATGTTTAAAAGATTTTTATGTTAACTTATGTATATTCTTATGAGTAAACCAAAACAAAGTACTAAACAGTGTTTTAGCTTTATTTATATATTAACAAAAAAATCACACTTTATTGAAAAAAATCTAAGGAGAATAGTCGCCATTAATAAGAATCATCATAATAATACACGCTCGATTTTATATGTAGTTAATTCATACACGTATGTCTTCTTTTGTTTTAATGTAAACTAATATACAGATAAATGCAGTGATTAAAAGATAGATGTATAGTGCATTACGACTTTCAAAATCATATTGTGAGCAAGAAAGTGGGAATAGTGGAATATAATTCGTGCTATCAATTATGTTCCATTGAGGTTCTTGATAAAATCGTTTTCTCAGAAAAGTAATAGCAAGATTAATGACCAACCATATTTCCAGTTATTGAATTTTAAATTCAGCAAAATTTAAACTCAATCGAAATTTTTAGCTTAGATCACAGAAAGACCAGAGAAGAGTAAGATATTACTTATCTTTTCAGTTCAAAATCGTTATTTTTTGCGCTGTATGGAAATCAAAACGTTGAAATCTGATAACGTCAAGTTGATGTCATGACGTCATGTAGTGTTATTTTGTGATAAAAACTCCCTATATTTAAAGAACTCTCTTGGAGAAATTGTTTGAGATAATTACAAAAATTAAACTGAAGCAGGAAGTTGCCACTCTAGACATGTTTCAAAAACAATTTCATCAGATTTAGGGACAGGGCCGATTTTGGCTCCTAACGTACTTTCTTCTTAAATTCTGCATTTGCTGCCACCCGATACATTCAAAATCTACAACTTATAATTTCTTGATTCATTATACTTCGACATCTTTCAATATTTCTTAAAGGAAACAAGACAAATCCTTCTGGTGGATGCAACGGGATATAGTATATAATACAGAGCTATTCTTCTGCAATTTATATATTTTACAACTGTATTTACTCGAGCAATATTTTCAAAGTGAAAAATTATACATATAGTCGCTATTTGAATGAATCAACATTTGTTAACAGATTGTGATGGGAAGTACAGATATAATGATACATATCAATAAAATACCTATAGCCAAGGGTAAGCTATGCTACAATTTATTGTACATAAAAGTTGCTCATCTTTATATATGAACATAATGTTACGCATTTAATAAATTGAAAATATATTGAAACAAGATTTGTTCAGCGAATAATACATTTTTAGTAGGTACATTTATTAGATTTCTGTTAGGGTTGACGGTTGGTTGCATTTTCAGTCGGCATATAATATTCTTACCGTGCTTTAACTAAAGGTCAGTTTACATTTAAGATTTATGGCAATAATGGAATTATAAAACAAGTGTTTGTCATACAATCATAGTAATTTTTTAGATCTACTGCCAGATTTACTGGAATCAAGAGAGGCATATACTTTTCTATCATTATACTCATAATCATCGGATTCTGCTGCTGTAAAAGAAAAGAAAGAAATACTATCAGTCTTTGTGTATTATTCCCATTCCGGAAAAAAAAACAGACGATTGTACATGTCACGTGTAGGTTCTTGTACTTTAACCTGTTTTATTCTGATTAATTCACAGTTCTCTGTAATATCTGTATTTTTCTATGAAAAATATTTGAATTCATGACAACCACAGCCCCCCCCCCCTCCTTAATATGAGTTTTACAATTGCATATTTTAGCAGTAAACAGTTGTAAACTAGATTCATTGAAACGTCCAAATCTTCTACCAAAAACGCAAATGATTCGGAATCCTTAAAATAGGGATCTTGAAAGTGACACACTAGTACTCGATCTGGTACAATGAAAAAAGATGGTGAAGTATGAGCCACTCAAACACCTGAAATAGCCATTATAAAAAGAGCTACAAAACGAAGCAAAGCAGTGAGAAACTAATTTTTATTATGACTGTTTTAAAATTGTACTGCAGATATCAATGAAGGGATTTACTACCCAACACAGCCCTACAAAGCAAATTCTACTTCCGGCCAAAATTACTCCTCTGCATATCTCCATCCATACACTGGAAAATACACTAAATTCCAAAACTGAATTAGATTTCCGGGACAGAAATGTGCCACCGTACATGTACCAGCACCATCATACGAATCAGTGGTTGATCAAAGTCGACTGATGACTCCGAAATCCATTTAATCAAGATTATGTGATTTATATCAACTGGTAGATTATTAATTCAGGACAAGGTTTTTATGTTTTGTTAGTTGGCATAATGTTTACACAATTTATTAATTCATTATAGGAATATAGTAAGGTTTATTACGAGTAAAAGGAGATATGGATTTACTATTGCTGTGCACCGGAAGATACCCCCTCTTCAAACCTTAAAATTGTTTAGATTTGTTGTCTCCCCACCCTGACTCAAAGCAAGGGGGGGGGTATGTAATACATAAGTACGTGCAGCACATAAGTTGTCCAAAGTAACATGGTATGGTAATATCCGTGGTTCATGGCCTGTCATGGCTGGTTCCACTTCCATCTCACACAGTCTGGTAAAGTAAATATGTAATTCAGGTGGCGCTGGAGACAGGGAGAAGGGGCAGTCCTACATACAGTGGTCCAGTACGCAGTGGCCGTTCGGATCGAGCACTTGTGCTTTTACTCGGCACCCTATGAGCCCATATGTGTACATCCAGTCCCCCACAAAAAGATTGCGGCCTTGCTCATTGTAACAAATGTGTTTACTGTCTTTGTTAGTTGTGCTCAAAGTGTCATAAATACTAATCATGAAACTCAAAACAGGTGTTACTGTTCCAGGTGTTACATGCTTATACAAGGTCTGAATCAGATTATCCGTACGTCTGCGATTTTGGTATTAGATGTATTTGAGCGTAGTGCCTGCGTTGCCAGTGCACATGTAATAGGCAACTACAAGTAATAAGTAGAAAATTATGTTTAGGGATCAACCTTCCCTGTATCTATAATTAATTTCAAAATGATTTTTATTTTTCATATTAGATGTCTTTTAATCTAGTCTATTTTATTACTTAGTTAAAGAGCCTGGCTTACAGAAACTAAGTAATTCGAATTGGGGGAAAAACACAGCTTTAAAAAGATAAACCATTTAATTGAAACTAAAAATTCGTCGGTTTTTAAATCAACAAGTTTAAATAAGACACCAGTTTTTGTGTGAACTTCTAATATTTCCTAAAACATTCCAAACAAATAATTATGTTGACGATTTCATGCTTCAATTCCTTCTTAAAACTTCCTCAGTTGAACAGCGGAGATGGCTCTGGGAAGATTAGTATCCTTGGCTTGCTTTGGGATTTTCCTACTGTTTATAAAAGGTATCTTATCATTTCAGATAGATATATTTGTTTGATTTTGGAACGAATGAAGAAATTAATTTTCATAAACATGTGTTAGAATGCTAAAAATTATTAATTATTATATATATATGACACCTTTGGATATATTTAAAAAAGTAAAAGACGCAATATGCTTCGTTATCTTTGTCTTTTCAACTCCTTATTTTATAGAACACGGTTTGAAGACTGTTCAAAGACAATACTATGAAATACTTTGCAACCGAGTTCCTGAGAAAAAAAAAGGATTTTTTTTTCCAGAAAGAAATCTTAGTGAACAACTATTGTTGGAAAAAAAACATTCTTCGATAGAAAGGAGAATTAATAAAATAGCACTTAAAGTCTTTATAAATATGATTGTAATTAGAATAATGTCATTCATGGAAAGCGTAGATATTTAAACAACTTGTCCTCATTTAACCGTTTTGTCAAAGTGACTTGGCAAGTATATAAGATAGGTAAATTATACCTTATCAAGGTTAGGACTGCAATTGCAAACAAAACACGAATTAGTTTTCGATTTTGTACTATTTTAAAATTATTGATGTTGCGTAATATACTGCAACATAATATACGTGCATGTATGTGTGTGGTTTTCTTTAAATAAATCTTCACCTTTACTTTCCATTTAACAGATTGTGATGGACTTTACAGCTATCAAATTAGGTAAGTCATGATCAAATTCAAATCAAAATTATTATACATGTACAGGGGGAAAATGTAAATTCAATACTAACCTAACCGATATAATGAACAGGCAAAGATTTCATTGAATAAGTGTAATTATAATTGAGCTTTATTTAGGATAGCAGAGAGATAGAGAGATATCCATGACGTGCTTCTATCAATCATTACTACAGATTTAGTAATTAGACTAAAACGTTAAATTATTATATTTACATTCAATGTAATTTTCTTTATGAAAATTTCTCTATTAGAAATCTACGACGTTTAAATCTCTACAACACACGCGAAACCTTGTCACCGCGCGATAGAATACACAGTGGGAACTATATGCATTTTCAGTATCTAGGAACTCCAAAATGTATATTATTTTGACTCAATATAATAAAAAAAAAAAAACAAACAAAACAAATGTATTACCCTGTTAAAGTAAAATACAACAACTGTGCGTTTAAAATTAATTTGTCATTTTTTTTCTCGCAATGTTCAATTGCGTTAATTAACTTTCCAACGTCACAAAAGGCTCTTACGTCTATTAAGCACATGAGTTCTGAAAGGCGCTAAATTTATAATAAAGATTAACGAAATAAACAATTATGCAGAGAGAAAATTAGAAAATGTAAATATAAGCATTGAATTCTTATTTTTGGATGTCCTATAACACACCTAGCCGTGACGACAAATTATTATACCGCGCGCGTTGAAAAATTTACATATTTCAAGATGAAAGAAATCTTTTTTATAATACATATTTTCATTACAACCCAGATTTTTTTAAAAAAGATTTCTGTTGAAAAGAGGCCTGTGGTCCACGTATTGTAGTCCTTTTTGAAGGACAGCAACTGGTTATATATTTATATGAAGGAAAGCTGCTTTTCATTGGGAAGTGACCCAACCCACGAAAATTTGTCATGATGTCATGTGTGACTGAAGACAATGGCGAACTTGTAAGGAAACAGTCGAGTAGGATAATGTAACGTGTTTGTTTGCGAGAAAGTATTGACATACTTTCTCTACATTGGGAAGGTGTGGGGGTAAAAAGGCTGGGGAAAAACGCATATACAATAGAGCGCACAAATGCGTGAGTGGGAGAAACAACAGTGTACAGTTAAAAAACTCACAAACTCAAAAAATGGCTTTTTCCAGTTTTAGGTGAATCTGTCTCCAGTATTTATGGCGTTTTCAGTGGTAGTGACATGGCAATTACACAGTTGATAGGATGGGTAGCCCCGTCTTGACGTGGCGGACGTACACGTCATATTTGTACAGAAACCCTTTTATTTACTCCTTGACCACGTATATGACTTTCTAGGGTATCGAAATTCACATGCAATCGCAATGCAACCTTTTGTCCCCATTGTTTGTACTCAGGCAATGCAATACCCAAACCCAACTGAACTTCCGTCAGCTGTACCATGATTGCAAGAAATTAAATTTTACTGAAAATTCCTATAAAACGATGTGTATACCTCTAGAGTCTCAAACTGATTTAAAAGATGTGTTGACAAGCGTCATTGTCAATCTACAGGCGTTTTAGTATTTTAACACTTTTACTTTATGACGTCATACTTTTCACGGATGAGTAAATTTGAACACCAATTTTAGTTCACAATAATCAAGGTAATGCTCAGACCAATTTTCATAATTTTCGACCATGTGCTTCAATAACTATCGCATATTAGGCGATGGCCCCTATTATGCACGTTCCAGTGATTTTCTGTTTTACAATTATTATATCTTTTAGTTCTAGAGATAAAGGAATTGGTAGTGCCATAGGCATTTTCTCATTGATTCTCAGCATGGTGTGCTGCTGTTGCTTGTGTTGCCGACGCAACAGAAATGGGAAGGAAAATGTCGACACTGGTGAAATGTATTCCAACCAAGAAAACCAGCAGAGAATTGTTACGTGTAAGTCCTTCAATTGTAACATAATTCTTTTGGATTAATTCATATTGCGTTATATACTTTGTGATCTGTATTTATAATCAGCATCTTACTTAATAATCAACATTTATTTGGACAACAAATTTAGCAACAGTATTCTAAGAACGCGTGATAGGGAAGTGAACAAGACTTATCCAAATGTACAAATCTTTCAGACTGGAATTGATTCCGCAATATGTGGAATATAAAATTTAGACAACTGGGTTTCCACTCAATCAAATAAAAAAGTCGTTGTATAAAAGAAATATAAATAGACATCTGACCGTAGCTGGAAAGTAAAACTGTTTATCTTTGTCATTAAATTTTACAGCAACTGCTTCTGCCGGAGTTCACTACCCACTACAACCTTACACATCTAATTCTACCGAAGATATATCTCCTACCCAGCTCTATCCTTACAGTGGACAACTTAATACTGTTTTTCAATATGGAATCAAAGCCCCTGATCAGTCATTTGGTGCCACCTCTCTGCCACCATACGAAGAACCAGCTCCATCATACGAATCAGTGTTTGGAGTGGCGTGTCCTTCTTTTACAACACAGGAAAACATTTTGAATACGCAAGTTCCGAGATTGTAGCTCTCCAATGATAGAGGCGCTTATAGTATCCACCTCAGCATGAAGTTGGACACATCGATGTAAACAATTGCGCATAGTTGAATGATGGTTTTGCCACCTGTACTGATAATTTACCAATACACAGCCTACTATACATAGCTATTGGCAATTGTTTATATAGATCCAAGCTTGGGTTTATAACTGGAAATGACACGTGCGAACCAATTTACAAACCAAATGAAAATTCATTTTATGACGAATAGATTAAAATGTCAAGCAGTGATGTATTTTGATGATATTTTTTCAGTTCTACTGTGCATATTTACAAAATCCTCTTATATTTATGAAAGGAAACCATATTATTTTGCCATGGTTATTTTGTAAGAAAGAAACATACATTATTGCATAAACCTTTACTTTAAAGGTTTTTCGAAGATTCTTTAAAATTCTTATATATGGGAATAGAGTTTGTGTGTCGCTCTGGCTACCGAGGTAAAACTATAAGATGCGTGTGTATGAACTATTAGGAACACATATGGAACGCCTCAGTTGCCTTATGTGCATGGATAACATCATTATATGCTGATATTTTATCATTATATGCTGATACTTTAACATTAAATGCTGATACTTCAACATTATATGCTGATACTTCTACATCAAATGCTGATACTTCTACATCAAATGCTGATACTTCAACATTATATGCTGATACTTCAACATTATATGATGATACTTCTACATTATATGATGATACGTCACTATAAAATCTTTCATACTTAACATTAAAAAATTATATTCGGAAACCCCAATGTAATGTACTTTTAGTTTCAAATTTGTTCAAATAAAGCTTCTTGGAATTAAGTTGTTGACAAAATTAGAGAACAAATTAAAGCAGAAAATATCGACATCTAGATGAAAATAATTATTGAATATTAACCTTCTTTACTGAAAGGAATAGTTATATAAGCTATAATTCATTCATTTATTTACTATATATTACATATATACTAGCAGTTTGAAAGATATTAACGGAACAGATGTACTGGGTACTCCGGTCTTCGTTTATAACGTACACTGATTATAATGTAGGACTTATCATAGTCACTTCAGATACGTTAGAAAAGAAGTTTACTGTATTTTGATACCTTTGAATCGAATTTTTCGAATCGAGAGGGAATCATTCATTTGATAATAAAAATGGTTATTAGTTCGAAAAAAGGTTACACAGTGGAATCATCATTGTTCATGGGGGACCAGTGTTCGTGGACTTTGTGGGTCACCCTTACCCACAAATATACATCCCCATTTATTTGTAAACATATTGATTCATTTAATCTACCATATAAACGAGTTACCCACGAAATTACGTCCCCACGAACAAGTCAAATTTTGCTTGCCCACGAACATTGACCCCCACGAATTAAAATGAATCCACAGCAGTACATGTTTATAATTACAACTTCACATATTTTAGTCTATGTACATATAATGTTCTCCTTATCCAATGCAGAAGAATAAGTCAAACACAGATCCCCTTGTATAAAATTTGATATCGAGCATAGGCATTCCCCAGCTTAATTGTTAAAAAATATATATCTACTATTAACTATACTATAAACATAACAAGGCATGAAACTAGCCTCCATGTTGGATTCCGCTCAGGGGCACTTCCTGACTAATAGCAAGAATTTCTCGCCCAAGTCGGACTTTTCTCAGACATCGGAAGCTGTCATTTATTGAAATAAAATCAAATCAGGTTGAATCTCGCAGTACGTCCGTCGCATTCACGCGTTTTCTAGCATTTCTCTGCAAACCAGGTCTCCTCGGCCGGAACTTAAAGGTTTATGGGGGTATAGATAATTCGATCGTCGTTTACCTTCAAAGTTCATTTCATGGATTGATTGATTGATTGTATATTGTTTTACGTCCCATTCGAGAATTTTTCACTCATATAGAGACGTCACCATATACCGGTGAAGGGCTTCCAATTTTGACCGTTACGCGGCACTCAGGGCCATTGAGCAGTGAGGGATCTTTATCGTGCCAACGCCTGCCGTGACACGGGGCCTCGGTTTTTAAGGTCTCATCCGAAGGACCCGCAACTTTCACTTCAAAGTGCCGAGCGCATGGCGAAGGAACAGTTGCTACCTATTTTTTATCGACTTAGGTCAGCCGCGGCCGATATTCGAACTCACTACCTCCCGATCACGGAGCGAGCGCTCTACCGACTGAGCTACCGTGAACGGTGCATTTCATGGAAAGCTAACGTTTGTTTTTCATAACAAACGAATGTACTGTGAAATAAATATAATTTTGCATCAAGAGGACCTTGCAAGATTTAATACACATTTTCAAGCCCATAAAAAGCAGTTTCAGTGTGTGTTTGTGTGTGTGTGCTGGGGGGGGGGGGTTCAACTGAACAACAATTCTTTGACAAGAAAAAAATATTATTGAAGGAGGACAATCGTAAGGTAGGTTTGTTTTCTATTGCATTTTATTAGTATATTCATGTATTGGCAAAATTATAGGGGCAAAAGGAGGGGGAGGGACACGTTTAAGCAGATGGATTTGACCCGGGGGGGGGGGTAAAATGTTTAGTAAATAAACATAATAAAATAAAGCGGATATTTGCAGAAGTAAGTTCTGCACGAAAATTGTGAAATGTCTTGGAAGAAAAAGAACTATATACAAGGAAAAGACTTGGCTTTTTTAGTTCAATGATGGTACAGAGACACCAATACAGAATAATGCAATTTAGAGGAGGACAATTTGTTTCTGGGGGGGGGGGGGTGGCATATTTTTTCGAGTCAAAATGTTTATTTTCATGTCATTGAAGGACAGATTATTTATTTCAAAGATGGTTAGGGAATTTTTTTTTTATTTCTACTATACACCAAAAAAAGTGGGTAGGAAAAAATAAAGAAAAAAATGAGAAAATTAGAGTGTCTGCGGGGGGGGGGGGGGGGGGTAACATTACTCGAATGCAAATAATTCATTTTCTTCCTAGTGGAAAATAATTTTTTTTTCCCCAACATTTTTAAGGACAGATTTTTTCTCTCTCCAAAATCTGCCAACACCTATCGGAATCAAATAGTTGTCCCCTCAGAATTACGCATCACGAATTGAATCCTTTACTGTAGTTGTCATGTGCAAATTCACACTTTACAATCTTGCGCATGAAGAAATTAATAGTTTAGCACTTTGTGTATATGATTGTGTTTATATGTGGTTGTTGCAGTGAAATCAGCGCGGGGCGGGGCTCAGGAAGTTCATTGTAATGACATAAACTATAGTCTGTTAAATGACTCCTAATCTAGCTGCCTTTGCATTTGTTAACTGTCCAGACTGAAGCTGGTTTTTGGTCAAAACTAATCAGTACCATACGTGATATCATTCTCAGTGGAACGCTGTAAAAGAGTGAGCTTATGAAGTTAGTTTCAGCTTTGTAAATATTCACGGTGACGTGAACATGCCAAAATATATGTTTAGAAATAATTACCCTTACAAAATATTTAAAACATCCAAACCACTTATATAATATTTCAGTGAAATTTTTGTCGGAACTTGTATTAAACTTTAGAACTGTCCCATTTTATTATAGTATATCTGTATGACACCATCTATAAGAAATAAGTCCCGCTATCAGGATAAAATATTCATGTACTTGTATATTTATTTATTTTGCAATAAAAGTAATACTTAATAATTTACATGTATGCAAGTATACTTTCCAGAGATGAATCCGGGGGGAGGGGTCAAAAAGATTAAGTGGCAATAGAAACTCATAATACTTGTAGTTAAAATTAGTATTAAAGCATAAGTTTTATCAAGACTTTCTTTTATATTGAATATCCCCCCTTTTCCTTTTTTCTTAAAAATTCGAAAGGGGGTGACCCCCCCCCCCCCCCCGATAAATCTGCCACTGTCTTCAAGACACACACACACACACACATATATATATATATAATTATATATATATATATATATATATATATATATATATATATATATATATATATATATATATATATAATCTGCCGACTTATAGACTAACCGAGTGACAATGTATTTTCATAAGTTCAAGTATCTGCTAGACTTCTTTTTTTATCAATAGAAGTAATAAAAATGCAAAGAAAAATTGAATGTCTTATTGATATACAAATAAATATATTTCACAATACATTTTATTCATTTTTGAAAATTAAATCTTAGTTTTCCGCGAAATGTCATTCTCGTACTTTGAAGTTAAACGATGATCGAATTATCTATACCCCCATAAACCTTTAAGTTCCGGCCGAGGAGAACCTGGTTTGCAGAGAAATGCTAGAAAACGCGTGAATGCGACGGGCGTACTGCGAGATTCAACCTGATTTGATTTTATTTCAATAAATGACAGCTTCCGATGTCTGAGAAAAGTCCGAATTGGGTGAGAAATTCTCGCTATTGGTGAGAGAGTGCCCCAAAGCGGAATCCAACATGGAGGCTAGTTTCATGCCTTTGTTATGTTTATAGTATAGTAGATATATATTTTTTAACAATTAAGCTGGGGAATGCCTATGATATCGAGGTTAAACTGTTTCAAACCCTTATGAAAAGATGATAACATGCAACATCACTGTCTTGGGGATGGATACCCATACATATAGAAATACTTTTTACAACATATTTTGTTTATTGTTTTTTTTAAAACATCTATACTTATAAATTAATAAATTTTGCAAATAAACTCCTAAACGGGTGCACCAGAATTCTTACTTACTCCTCTTTCAATACACTGTATTCAAGATGATGTCCGTAAATTATATTTAGATTTCACTCGCATAGTAAGTATCGTACATTAAATAAAAAGTCTACTTTTATTTTCTATGAACAGCCATGAAATAGCAAAAACATGAGTACGGTGGCGTTTCCGGTTGGCGGATCTAAGATACTGGCAATTTTTAATGAAACTGACAACAAGCAATCATTTATTTATTTCATAAAACGTCATCACTGAATTATTCAATGAAAACTTGATTTAAATGATATAAAAGAAATAAGTTGTGATAACCGATTAAAAAGGGAAATGTGCAAATTAATTTCGTCATTCACCGATCTTAATATTGATGGAAGCTTCTAGAACATCATATAGCATCGAGCCCGATGTTAAAGAGAAAAAAAGAGGAGATCATTTAAAAAAAAGCTTTTGTATGAACGGTCATTGAAATAATGGTAAATCATTGACAACACTATAAGTTTTGAATATATTTATATATCGAAAGACTATATATTATATGTATGTAGTAGGTTTTTCTAATAAATTCATCGGTAAAATTTGTATATATTCCTTACTGAGAGCATCGTGACAACGAACCCGAAGTACAATTTGTACTTCGTAATAAACTTGCTTACATGAAATGAGAAAATTAATGACCAAGGCATTGTTCAAATACAATTAAAGCTGTGTAAAATTTTGTGCTTTAATCAATACATTTCAGTTTTCTTCTGAATACAGTCTTTTGTATCAAGTACTCGGTTTATTCATAGGACATTAAAAGCTTATTTTTACACAGACCCTGTACTTGGGTCTTGGTTTATAAATACGTATGTACCTTATTGATACGTAAAAAAAGTAAAGTACATTTTTTTTTTACATATCAATAAGGTACATACATATTTATAAACCAAGACTCAAGTAACCCCCCCCCCCCCCAAGTTTATCAGTAAAATGTGCATATTCGCTGCTTTTATCCTTGACGGAAATGAAATAAGAGCATCTGAAGTACAATATCCATAACATAGTATAACAGGTTTCACAATAAACGTCAATTAATGAAATTGTCAAGTTTTTTTTACAGAAAGGGGGGATTAAGGGGGAGGGGCGGTGGAGACGTACGTCTTCTTCATGCGGGATTTTGAATAAAGTATTTCTTCCTGCTATAAGCCTGTAGGCTGTCAGTAATACTACAATATATTTCCTGTCGTTAGTGGTATAAATTTAATTCCCCGCGCTTGCGCGGGATTTCATCTAGTGTATATGATATTTGTTAATATCTCTCTTTGAAAACGGTGCTATACGTTTACAGTTTGAATTCTTTATCATTGAGAAATGATATTTCCTTTTATGTTTCAATGCGCACTTAACAATCACAAAATAATTTAAATACCTGAAATATTTTAATGCCATCCCCTTGACAAAGCAAATATCTTGATCTTGTAAATTAACATTATTGGAAGATAGCATAAAACGAGGAGTGGTTGATTTGATTTTTATTTGTGAATATTACTTTAGATAAACGGCTATAATGTCGGTTTGAACACAAGAGGCCCATGGGTCACATCGCTCACCTTAGCATTTTGGCTAGGAAAAAAAGTAGAACTCAGTTCAGTATTGAAAATTTTAAATATATAAGTGGTCCAAACCTTCCCCTAAATGGGAGGGAGGTGGCATGATCTGAATAAACTTCAATCTTCCGAGGATGCTCCCATATAAATATGATCAATCATCACTTTTCACTCATTTGGAGACTCCACCACTTGCCGGTGGAGAGCTGTAAATTTTGACCTATACTTGGCACTCAGGGCCATTGAGCAGAGAGGGAGCTTTTTCGTCCCAGCACCTACTGTGACACGGGACCTCGATTTATACGGTCTCATCAGATGGACCGGTCTCCACGTCCCACAGTGGGTTAGAAGATTTTGAAGATGTTTTTCGTATAAGTTTGGTCTTCTATTGTGGTCCCACCCTACCCCCGATGGTCATCATTTGAACATGAATCTAGACTGCCTGATTATGCTTCCATATAAATATGACCAAGCATGGATTTGCTGTTCTTAGAAAGAGAATTTTGAAAGATTTTCCCCATGTATTCCTATGTAAAACGTTGATCGTCCATTTGGGCCAAACCCTACCCCATGGGTCATGATTTGAACAAACTTGAATCTACACTAGATATGCTTCCATATAAATAGGATCAATCATGGCTTTGCTGTTCTTTAGAAAAAGATTTTAAAGATTTTTTCCTATGTATTCCTTTGTAAAACGTTGATCGTCCATTGGGGCAAAATCCTTTCTCTGGGGTCATGAGTTGAACAAACTTGAATCTATACTTGCTGAGGATGTTTTCATATAAAATGACCAATCATGGTTTTGCTGTTCTTTACAAGAAAATAATTAGGAAATTTTTCTATTTATTCCTGTAAACCTATGTAAAACTTTGATCGTCCATTGTCGCTTCATCCTACCACCAGGGTCAGGATTTGAACAAACTTGAATCTACACTACATGCGGGTGTTGCAATATATATATGACCAATTATGGATTTTCTGTTCTTGAGAAGAAGATATGTAAAGATTTTTCCTATTTATTCCTATGTAAAATATTCTGATTACCCATTGCCGCCCCACACTACCCCCGCGGGTTCGAATCCACTGCGGGACGTGGAGACGGTCCTTCAGATGAGACCGTATAAACCAAAGTTACGTGTCGCACTAGGTATTGACACGAAGAAGATCCCTCACTGCTCAATGGTCTTGAGTGCGGGGTATAGGTATAAATTTGCAGCCCTCCAGCGGCAAGTGGTGGCGTCTCCTATAGTGAAAAATTCTCGATATCTTTCTTTTTAAAATTATTATCAAGCAAGCAAGACGTTATAGCAGTGGACAGAAGGAAGATGTAAAACTTTAACTATTAAAGTTTTGTTTTCAATGAGGTATGAAATATTTTTTCTATTTCACAAATAATGAAATTTATCCAGCCTTAAGTCTCTCAGAAAACGGTAATTCATACGTTCCTTCCTCTTCTTTAAAATAACATTAAATTGTGGTCCAAATTATACTTTTCACATAATTTCAAATTGAATGCTATGGATTGATTGAGTATATGTCGTTTAACGTCCCTCATTCAAGATTCTTTCACTCATATAGAGACGTCACCGTATGCCGGTGAAGGGCTTCAAATTTTTATCTATGCATGGCGCTTACGGTCGTAGCAGTGAGGGATCTTGGCGAAGGAACATTTACTGTCTTGGTCTGACGTGGCACCGGGAAGGAGAACTCATTTACTGGATCGTGATCCTATGATTATTAAAAACTAGAAATACTGTACAATTCAGTTTCTCTGGAACGGAAGTGGATGAGCGTGATTATCTAAAAGCGCAATTATTATTTTTTTTTTAGTAATAAGGGTAGATAACTGAAATAATTTTTGGTCAATCATCAAAAGAATTGACGTTAATTATAATGTTAACATCTGTTTTGCTTCATTTATTAAAGTTAACGTGGGACGCTAGCTTCGTGATCGGGATGTATCGGGTTTAATTCTGGTTCCAGACGCTACGTCAAACCTAAGACATTTTAAAAATGAATATAGTTGGTGACTGTTCCTTCGCTTAGCGCACGGCTCTAGAAGTGAAAGTCGATGACCTTCCGGATGATACCTTAAAAATCGAGTGCCCGTGTCAAACAGACCTTGGCACAATAAAGAACACTTACTGCTCAACGGCCCTGAATGCCGAGCAAAGGTCTAAATTTATTAAATCTATGGTGACGTCTTTTTTGAGTGATAAAATCTCGCAAGGGACGTAAAACAACAGTGAAGATTTCCAGTTTATAATTACTAGTATTAATATTCAAAAAAGATAACGATACTGCAAAAAAGTATGTCTCTAGAGAAAGCCGAAAGGTGGAATACATGTAATCGTCATGAAAACAACCCAAAATCAAACTTTTCTTGAATAAATGAATGATTTTTATTGCTTTGCAATTAATATCATTATACATGTACTCGTACATGTATTTGTAAATCTTGATTTTTTTAGGAACGAAGGATGACATAATTGGCTTGTTCGGGTTTCCAATCTTTAAATCAACGCGCTTAAAACAGACAACTGGCGTGTTCTCATATTTCGTAATACAATCAAAACACAAAGCAATATGTTGACGGGCTTCATGCTTCAAGTCTTTTATTGAAAAAACTGTTTTTAAATTGCTTCCTCAATGGCTCTGGAGAAATCAACATTTTTGGCTAGTTTTGGGGTTTTCTTACTATTTATGGAAGGTATTTTATAATATATTTATATTATTCCCAAAAGAATTCAACTTTGTTATGTTACCGATGTTTATAAAAGGTAAAAACTTCGTATCTTTTGGATGTAAGAATAATATCTATAAAAGATTCTGCCACGGGAATTCTTGTTAAATACCGGTACTCTGGAACGAAATTCAGATCAGAGAAAAGTTAAAAAAAAAAAAAAATTCATAGAAGACTCATTTTGACAATGATTGAAGAAAATAGGAAGGAAACATTTTTATATAATACCACGTAGAATGTAGAATAACGTCGTTCATGGGATGGCCTAGATATTTAAATGTCTTCACTTATAAACCTTGTAACAGTGACTTGACAAGTATTTTAAGATACGTAAAAATATGTAAATTGCACTCTATCTGGGTATCTGTGAATCACTAAACGAACCGTAATTTTTAGGGCTGGGACAATATATTGAGATGTCGATAATATCGATTCTCTGTGAGGACGATACGCATATCAATAGGTATGAAGAAGTATCACCAAAAAAAAACTTGATTTATGTTGTTCTTTGTTTACTAATCATTTTGGGTTAAATATATAAAATAAATATGCTAAATATAATTCAAAATATAAATATATGAAATACATAATAATTATCAACACTTGTGTAAAATAATTTTGTTTTACAACAGGTATACAACTTCTTTGAATAAATTATTCTTATTTGTGAAGACATGTTTTGTTGAATTAATTATTCTTATTTGTGAAGACATGTTTTGTTGATTTAATTATTCTTATTTGTGAAGACATGTTTTGTTCACTTCAATACAAAAAAAGAGATTTTATAACCAATTAAACATATCGTGAAACATATCGTATCGTGGCTCAAATATCGTGATCGTATCGATATAAAAAAAAGTTGTATCGTCCCAACCCTAGAAATTTTCCTACATGTATATCTGCTTGTCTGTACCACTCATTATCAATGAATGCTGGTTCAATGATTTGAGTAGTGGATCTTACGTTGAGTAGAATAATCTGTTATTCTGCAATAGTGCTTAAACCTTTTTGACACCCAAAAATCTTTGTTGCATTTGGTGATGCTGACTGGACTTCATCAGCGAGTGTGTGAATATATGAACAAAGTGGAAATTTGAATCATATAAATCCCTATACTATTATGTCTGTTTTTAATTATCCAATTTATATACATATATAAACAATAGAATTCTTAACCAGTTAAAATTCTCTCTCTCTCTCTATATATATATATTGCTTTGTCTTTGTTGCTTTATTCAAATGAATCAACAAGTGAACATTTGTTTTAACAGATTGTGATGGAAGTAATAGGACTTATTATTCATCCAAGTATTACGATTCCCAAATTAAGTAAGTGATGCTCAAAATCATACCAGTAATATTAAGGATTTATTACAATATTAAGCTAACTGATATAATGAATTGGCAATATTGTGATTGACTTGATATATATATATAAATTAGGTTATGAAGTATATAAAGTATTTCTTTGAAATTTATCATTTTTTCCTGGATGGAGGAGGGGTGGTGTAAACACTTCCAACGTCAGTATATAAATATTTCAATTAGTGCACTATAACTAAAACTGAGTTTGTATGTTAATTTCCGTAATCAGCATTGAGAAAGTGAAGGCAACTGCGTGGGTAAAAAAAAATATCTAGCTTTAAATATAACATGGACACACTAAAAATTACCTTGGAACCCCCGCCCAAAGGAAACAGCAACCCTTTTAAAAGATTTGATAAATATATAAGATTTAATGAGCAAAAGTAGCACAATATAACAAATAATATTTGAGGCAAAAGAATGTGTTCAAACTTTAAACAATAATAAACAAATAAATTGAAATAAAATAATTATTAAGTTTTACAATATCGAAAATGCAAGATGTGTCAACATTATAAATCAGGTACAAATAAAAAGAAATAAAAGAAGCGTAAGGAATTACACGTACTATTGATAAGAATGTTTTCTTTTTTCTACATTTCGTTTAAAAATTGACAGAGATAGTGCGGATCTTATATTCAGGGGCAAACAGTTTCATTGAACGCCAGAACATTTGAGGGAATACTTAAATAAGTTTGTTCAGTTATTTTGGTAGGTAACGTTTTAATTAGATTCTGAAAGTAATGTATAAGCATAAGAAGTTTGAAGAGTAAATAAATCATGCAGATAAGCAGGGTTCTTGTAGTAAAATATTTTGTACAACAAAATATATTTTGTGTAATAACACTAAATCCAAAACTAAGAGCCAACCTAGTTTTTCAAAGTATGCCTTTGAGGGAGCATCTGAAAAGCAAAATTTCAGCGATACATTTTTGGAGCTTATGAATTCTTCCATATAATCTGTGCATTATCCAAAATAAATGTGGTTAGACAGTAATTTAAGAAAGCAGTACACAAGCACTGTAAAACAATGCTCAGGTTTTCAGAGGAAGAAAATTTAAGGTAAACAATTTATAAAGATTTGCAAAATGAGTCTACATGGTTATCAAAATTTAGTGTTAGATGATACCCCCTGGGAAAAATTCTTGGAATCCACCGTTGTCCCTTCCTCTGCTAAAATAGGACCTTAGTTACGTTCTTAATGTTATCTAAACTCAATGAGTACATGTGTTCTTGACAATTATGATATATTTTTAGCCCAAGAGATAAATTACTGAGTGGTGTCATAGTCAGTTTTATATCCTTCATTCTCTCCGTGTGCGTCTGTTGTTGGATCTTCAGCGGCTGTAGAAATAGTGATGGAAATAGAGATGAAAATGCCGGCACCGATGAAGTGGCCTCCCATACTACCCATAGTCCTCCGCGTTTAAGCACACAGATATTGATGCATACTAATTCTGGCGGAAGTTTGGTGTACTCCAACCCACAAACCCAACAAAGAATTGAAACGTGTAAGTTCCGTATATGTAACATAATCCTTTAATATTAATTCTTATTGCGTTATTGTGTAATCTTCATATTTCGTAAATTTTCTCAATGTGTGTGTAACTTAATGCATGGTCCACAGTTCATATGGATAACGATTGGGGCATTAGTTTCTGAGAATTAAAGAGATATCTATGTGAACAAGATTTATCCAAATGTACATATTTTTCTGTAAGCAATGGTTCCTCAATTTATGGATTTTAAAATACTCGGATGCAATCAAACAAAATTAAAAATTCATTGAATCCCACTCAATCAAATAGAGTAGCTCCTACATGTATATAAAAAGGAATATAAATAGACACCGTAGCAAAGTAGTGAAACTGTCCATCTTTGTCATTAAATTTTACAGCAACGGCTTCTACTGGAGTTCACTACCCAACACAATCCTATACATCTAATTCTACCGTGGGACTTCATTATCCTTCACAACTCTATCCATGCAGTGGACAATTTAATACTGACTTTCAATATGGAATGGAGACCCCAAACCAGTTGTTGGACGCCGCTGCTCCGCCACCATACGAAGACCCAGCTCCATCATACGAATCGGTGTTTGGAAGAGCGACGTGTCCTTCTCATAGAACACACGAAAATAATTTGAATTTAACAGATCCTCCGCCATATAAATCATTATATTAAATGTTAAGCTACCTTGATGTCCACAACACATGTAAAAATGCAAAATCGTTTTCTTATAAATACTTGTATCTGTGCAAACTCTATACATGTATAACGAATGATTTTGCATTTTAACATATATGTTATCTCATTTAAAAAAAAATAATAAATGGTGCAGTATGTACATGTTTAAAACGTTTTACCTCTGTTGAATATAAAATGAACACTGCACATAATTTGTATTATGTGAAAGATTTTTAACACTGCCACTTAAGCAGCTTAAAAAATCTATTTCCAGTAATATGCATTGTTTGATACAACATAAAAAAGACTTTCTATGCGAAAGCGGATGCTATTTATGCTGATTTAGAAATTTTATCAATTTATAATTTATTATGTGTATATTTTTTGGCATCTTACGGAGATGTGGATTCCAATTTCCTCTCATCCACAATAAAAATGAAAAAAAAAAATTCTCTACAGGGTTTTATCATACTTCAACAAAAAGTGGGGAAGGAGGGGGGGGGGGGAGCAATTGGCCTTTCATTATAAAAAAAAATCGTATTGAACAGCGCGAAAATAATGATTAAAAGAGGCAGTCCTCTCTCCCCTCTACTCCAGCCCCTTTGATGCTATTGATCTATTAAAGAAAACAGCGCCACAATAATGTGAATTGTTATATAGGCATTAACAGGCATTATAGGTTTTATTCAAATCAGGGTCCCTTGGGCAATGGTGAGGCTACGATATGGGTCAAAATTGTTGGAGGATTTTTTAAAAAAATTTTTCTCCTGAACAGTAGGACCATAATCATTTAACCGACATACACACATATCTCTGTTGTGTAGAAAACATGTTTTCAAATGATTAATTCTGCACTAGGCTTGGGGACTATAGAAGCTTATTTGTATATACAATGGCTAATAAAAATATTTAAAATGCTTGTTGTAAAGGAAGCATGCATCTCTGTATCCCTGTAGTGTTTACACAGATTTCTTTAAAACATGTCTTCTCAAGCAAAGATTGGGACACATTTCGTGATCCAAGTTTTACAAAGCAATTCAGGCCGCCCACGTGGCGCAGCGGTAGAGCGTCTGCTCTAGAGTCGCGGAGTAAGGAGTTAATCCTTACATCGTCGGTTCGAATCCCAGTGTGGGACGTGGAGACCGGTTCTTCGGATGAGACCGTATAAACCGAGGTCCCGTGTCGCAGTAGGTGCTGGCACGAAAAAGATCCCTCACTGCTCAATGGCGCTGAGTATAGGTCAAAATTTGTAGCTCTCCACCGGCAAGTGGTGGCGTCTCCATATGAGTGAAAATTTCTCGAGAGGGACGTTAAACAACAAACAAACAAACAAAGCAATTCATAGTAAAAACTTCAAAAATCGTCTTTAAAAGTGAACTGCGTCATAATTTGCCATATGGAATACGTAAGCATCCCAGGTTAATGTAGCTTCTAATTTGTTCAAATCATGGTCCCAGGTACTATAGACTGCTGACAAAAGGGAATAAAGTTGAAAACAGAAATATATCGACATCCGGAAGAAAGTGTTAAAGGTACTTTGAAATTGTAAAGCTAATATCAAGCCTTAATATATTATAAATAAAAATGGTCAAAATCAACATAATTAAACTTGGAGACGTCAAGAAAAGTTTTTCTTTATATTATATAAATGACATTACAAAAATCCAAATGATTTAAAGTTTGAAGAAATATAAAATATATATAAAAATAACAATTGAAAAAAAATAATAAAAACGAGATGTCTTGCTTTATATTCTTTATTTACATGTATAAAATATGAAGTACAGAATGATGACTAGGGTGACTGTTGTGGGCAATGAGTCTTAAATTGCATACTTTGTTATTTGTCATCTACAAACTTATTTCATGAAAAAAAAAACCCAAAATTTTATTGTACAACAATCTGTAGGATTTCCCATGGATTCTAATTGTGCCCCGTTATTAGCAGAGCTGTTTTATGAAGCAGAATTTATTCAAAAACTTCTACATGAAAAGAGAAAATCTAGCTGTAGTCTTCAGTTCGAAATTAAGATATATGGGAAAATGTGTATTAATTAACAATATTCATTTTCATTCCCATGTTGATTAGATAAATCCAATTGCAGTCAAGATAATAGACACCAGTCCGAGACATCTGCTTCATATCTGGATACTTTACCTAGAAAGATATTGATAATTATATAATAACTTCAACTTTCCTATCTTCCCTTATTTATTGAGCAATATACCATGATAACGTGCATATGGAGTCAATGTTCCCCAGTTGATTCGATACGCAAGAGTATGTTCTACGTACGAACAATTTTTATAACGATGCAAGCTGTTGACAAATTCGTTGATGATGAAAAGGTAAAGATATGTTTCGGAATATTTGCACTATACATGTATACATTGTATCTCAAGATTTACAAGATGTGTTTTTGAAACACTGATGCCCCCGTATGGCAACTTATAGCGAAGGTTCAACTTTCTCAAATGCACATCAAATATGCTGGTACCCAAAGTAAGGTCTTGTACCGAAGAATACACTGTGCCTGTGAAATATGAAAGCCCTAGCAGCAACCATTGAAAAAATATGGAAAAGGTTAAAGTTTTTCAAAAGTAATTCAAACATCAAGGTCAGGGTCAAAATTAATGGTGCCCAAGGAAATGCCTTCTCACAAGAAATACACATGTGAAATATGAAAGCTCTAGCACCAACCGTTCAAAAGATATGGCTAATGTTAAAGTTTTTTTTTAAAAAGTAGGTCAAACTCGTTGGTCAAGGTCAAAGGGTCAAAGTTGTTGATATCCAAAGGAAGGTCTTGTAACAAGGATTACACATGTGAAGTATGAAAGCCCTAGCTTCAACCGTTCAAAAGTTATAGCCAATGATAAAGTTTTTCAAAAGTATGTCAAAATCCAAGGTCAAAGGGTCAAAGTTGTTGTTATCCAAAGAAAGGTCTTGTCACAAGGATTACACATGTGCAGTATGAAAGCCCTAGAACCAAAAGTTATGGCCAAGGTTAAGGTTGGGTAAAATTTTGTAAAACTTGGTCAAACTCCAAGGTCAAGGTCAAATATGATGGTACCCAAAGAAAGGTCTTGTCACAAGGAATACACATGTGAAATATGAAAGTCATAGCTCCAACCAATCAAAAGTTAAGGGCAATGTTAAAGTTTTTGCGGTCAAACAGACAGACGGACGGACGGACAGGGAAAACCTACAATGTATATACCCCCGAATCTTCGTTACGGGGGCATAAAAAGCAGAGCTGTAGGTGGCCCAAATGAAAACCTTTTATTCATTTATTTTATTATTTTTTGAATTTCAGTGCAATCAAATACTTTTTCTGTAAAAAGCATGAAAATGAATTACATGTACTGTGCCTTTTTTTTTCTTTTTTTTTTCTTTTTTTACCTTTTTCAGATATGCTTTTGATATTTTATTCCTATCTGACAACGTACAATTAAATTATTCTGTTTCTGAAGCTTTATTTTTATTTTATTTTATTCATTTATTTTTTTTTTATATTTAACTTGAAAGAGAATCTTTTGAGACTATTTTTGTTCAGATTACAAGATTATAAACTGCAAGTTGTCAGTTACACAAGTGTTTTCTTAGAATTCTAAATGACCGGTCCATGAAGTGGCGTCACAGTAGCCAAGGGCCTGAAACCGCTCGAATCAGAAAATCGCTCAGATGTGAATTGGGGTTTTTACCCGCTATCTCCGTTATTTATGCATCGATTTTGATGCGGTTTTTTTTTTTCCCTCGCCGTAATCTTTAACATGTAAAAGAATTGCAATCCATTTCCTTTAAGGTATTACTTGAAATTTATCGTAATACAGATTTTCATTTGTTAAGACATTTAAAAAATGCTGATTTTCCAAATCAATACCATATATTTGAATTCTCAACATAGAAAAATAAAGAAGTAAAAAATAAATAAATAAAATTAAATAAAATTGAAAAAATTAAATAATTTGAAAATAATAATTACAAGAGGAATTGATAATTAATCGTTGATTTTTTTTTAAATACATGTAGAAATAAATTTATATATACTTTTTATTTATTACTTTTCGTATCAGGTACAATATACCACTCCCATCCGACCCCCACTCGACAATGAAAAAAAAATCTTAAACTTCAAGGACAGACTTGCATTATTTAAAGATATTATGCACATTTCTTTTGTATGAGCCGTTTTGTCTAAATTTATATAAAAAAAAATAAAATGAATAAATAAATAATAATAAGAATAAAACAAACAAACAAACAGAAACCACGAGACGTATTTTGTTCCAAATATAATCTAATTACATTGTACAACTCCAGAAAAAGCCCGAGATGACTATGATCTTAATTTTTTTTTCAGTAGAAAAAAGAAAAGAAATCCGTTCATTCTGACAAACATGAAACTAAGCTTATAAAACGTTTGCATACAATGTCCAAGTAGAATTACAAGTAGAATTTCACATATAAGAAATGCAATTCATTTCCAGAGGAAGAACAGTTATGGTTTATCATTTTTTAACAGAGGAATTTGTTAAGATCCTTATTATGATGAATATGCAAGATTATACATATACATGTATATTAAAGATTGTCCAAAGGAATAAATGTAAAATAGAGTTTAAATTATATATTAAGTCCATTTCACTTGACATTTCTTGAAATTTTTAATCACTAATGAAAGCTTAGACAAATTGCATCAAAAGGAAAAAAAAAATACTCGTACATATAATTATATATTGTTTGCTTTATTAAGGTAGAATTGTTACTTAAATGTTGTATTATTAAGAGATCATGGAGATCTAAAAATACCCTCCACCCATTCTGTTTAAATACCCTCCATGGTCTGTTACCCATTGATTTATTTTCCGTCAACTTGTTTTTCAACATAAACAAGATGGCGTTCACTGAGTTACTGTCTACACTTCCTTGTGTTATACTTTTTGATCTGCTACAAGGTAAGCTAATTGTTAAGTACATTGTTTCCATGATTATGCCCCCTGATTAAAGTGCATCTCTTATCTGAAACAAATGCATTTAGTCGTAAATTTTTAACTTTTTGTATAGAATAAAGACATATTGTGAAATGCATTTCTTAAGGATAGAAGTTTCAAGCACATAAGATTGATCTATTTTTAACCCTTGCTTGAAAGAGTTGATATTATACGTAAAAGAAGAATTATATTTGATGTTCTTTTCATAATTTTTTATATCTATCATATGTAAAATAAAATATAGAAGTAAATTAAAAACAACTGAGGTATTTCTTTATAGTTTGCAAGAATATTTGGAATAAATAGAGCGTAAACATTTTTTTGTTGTTGTAATATTTGAATAAACTAAAAAGAGACAACTTTCATTAAAGTGCTTTTTTCTGTATTAAAAGGTAAAGATATCGTGGTTTTTAGGATCCAAATGTTTGTACACTTACAATAACCATGCCTATTTCTATTCTGTTATAGGAAGTGAGGGAGCATACAGATATTACTATAGGTACTATTCCTACTACTACTACGACTATGCCTATTTATCGTGAGTAGAGTTTTCTCATTTCATTTTTAAGAAATATATGAGCGATTCATTTTCATTTCATTTCTCTAAAACGTCTCAACTATATTAAATCGTTTAAGACTTTTGAATCATTATTTGTTGAAAAAATACTAATTACATAATATTCATATAACAATTCACTGATATAGCTAAAATATATTTCAAACAAGATTTACTAAATCGTTAAAGACTTTTAAATGAATTGTTTATTTTGTAAAATACTAATTTCATATTTATTTATCAAGAAAAAATCAATGAAATATTTCTTGTGTGTTAAGTGTATTAAATTATGAATTAACAGTTCTGTTTCTTTCCTATACACTGTTATCAGAATCTGTATATATGTATAAGCTTTGTGTACTAAGTAACATGACTTGTAAATTTACATGTACACATTCTAGGGGTGGAGTCATTGCTGGTATCGTCAGCGGCATCGTCTTTTTCATCGTGTTTATCATCGTAATAGTGGTCTGCTGCTGTCGTGCAGCACAACAGAGGACAAGAATGCCGGGTGTCATCTACAGCAATGGAATGAACCAACAAACAGTGATAACGACAGGTATGTTCACTTAACTTATTGGATTTGAGGGGAAAACACCATTGTAACTTGAATATGTTAGGCTGTCGATACAAAGAAAGAAATAAAATCCCTAATAATAGAGTTATCTATTGATTCTTTTTTCTTCCTAAACTTATTGATCAATATTTGTCTTTTCTTCGAATGTACTCCTTTAGAACTTTTGGTGTTATTAAAAGAAATGCGGAGCTAAAGAATAGAAAGCATGCTCAAAAGATCAATTAAACAATAAAAATTGAGCAGAATAAATATAGACCCTTGAAAACATTCGGAGGTATTGAATTCATTTCAACAATGTTGTTTACACTCTACACATTCATCCACTTCTAGTAAATACTACAAGCATAAGCTACTTTAACAAGTCTTTTAACTAAGATGCACTTTAAATACTTTTAGTCTATTTAATTGATATATTTTTTTTCTAACAATGTGAATTTATATAATAAATTAAATGAATATCTAACTTTTTCACCAGCAAACAGTGCCCCTGGATTATACCCCACTCAGCCCTACCCTGTCGCTGGTCAATATAATATGGGAATGCAGTACGGGACCCCAGGACAGCAGTTTGGAGTTCCTGGTCAGCAGACTTTTTACCCTCCACAAGGACAGCAATATACAGATCCTGCACCATCATACGAATCCGTCACGGAACAGAAAACTACCGCTCCGCCTTATCCAACTTAAGAATCCAGGCGTTTTTTCCGAATATATTTTTCCTTGATTTTTGCCAAAAATGATGGACAAAACAACTTTTTAATTATCTTTTAAAACATATGGAGTAATTCCCGGTTGTTTTTTATGTCTTACATAATCCTGACTCAGACTAGGTCAAATTACTTCTGAAAATCTTTTATTTTGGTTCAAAAGACGTTTTGACAAATTTGAAAGTAAAGGGGTATACTAGATTCAATGATAAAAAATTCCTACATGAAGTATATACAGAATATAACTGGAAAATATATGAGGAAAACATCGTTTAATTAATGTCCATATTTTACTTAAATTGCATTATCATGTATTGAACATAACTTATCATCGAACGAATATCGGTATGCTAGTATACATACTATAAATTTTGATTACATGTATGTCAATTATGGAGAAAGGTATTCAGAACAAAGATTGATTTATGATATGTTACATAACTGCTGATGATATTTATTTTTATCAGAAACTTTCATTTTACTGTTGAAGTTGCTTTCTGTGAATATTATTGTGTTTTAAATTCTTTCTTGGCTTACCATAAAAAATATTTTGAATACCTGAAAGTCCTACCTATTGTTGTATTCATCATTTGTTTATAAATAAATCACACTATTAAGAAATTTTACTTTAAACAATATTTTATTGACGAAATTGACAATGGTAAAAATACACTAGTAATAAATACAAAAGAATTGGGAAACAGGCCATAAGGCTTATATTAATCCCTCTTTTTGCAAATTCAACAAGTGAGAGAACATGTACGTGGATGAAACCTAAAATAATACACTCATAAGGAAAACTTTCATACATTTATATTGTAAACAGTTTACTGGAATTGAAGTCGCTGAAAAATCCCCAAAAATTCCAATTTTTACATAACAAAATAAAATTTACCTCACTCATTCATGCCACATCACTAATGAAAATTTGAACTGAAAAAAAGAGACCGAATAATGTCTCGTGGTAAAAAAATCAAGTGATTTGTTTTAAAATCTTTTGCTTTCTATCAGAAAGTTTTGGACAACAAGAAAAATATTTTGGTTTTCCCTTTCTGACAGATTTTGTGAACCATAAAGTAATATATCAACAGTTATGTGATGAGGTATTGAAAGAATAGTTCTATTTCGTACTCTTGTAAAATTGTTACAATGGAAGAAAAAATGTTCGATACTTTCAATCTCGCCACATGAACATAGTGGAAAAATACACAGATTTCTACGAAACATATGTAAATTCAAAGAACTGCATTCCAGTCTGAGTTTCGTATGTAAAATCTGACCAAGCCTACTCCCAACAAAGAAATAATTGGGTATTCTAGATAAATTAGAATTTAAGTATGATTTAAGACTTGAAATGGATGGATTATTTTGAATCACCAAAGGTATTTTATTCCAAATACGTATTGCACTGGGAAAGAAGGAATTATAGTATAGTTGGGTTCTAGTTTGGATTTCTTGTAGTGAGTTTTCTTGTCTAGCGTTGTAACTATGTCTATGATTACCATACTCGGAGACAATATATTTACTAAGTAATCAGGGGACTTTTTATGATATATTTTATGGAATTGAATTAAATGATGATTTTCTCTTCTTTCTGATAGGGTTACCCATCCCGTCTCTTTGTATAACAAGTATCTAGCTGCCATTCTATTCCCTCCCGTAACTATTCTAGCAGCTTCAAGTTGAACACCTTCAAGTTTATCTACTAAATAGTTTGGTATATTATCCCAAACGATATCGGCGTATTCAAGTATAGGTCTCACAAACGAAAAATAGATATTTTGTAACGTTTTCCTGTCCAGTATAAATTTAACTCTACATGTACGCATCATGGTTAGGCGACTATAAGCTTTACCCATAATTTCTTCCACGTGTAATTTCCAGGATAAATTTCTAGCAAATATAACTCCCGAATGCCTATGTGCATCGACTTCTTTTAAATGAACATTGTTAAATACAAGCGATGGATGAAATTTTTTTTCTCTCTAGATATTGTTAAACATTCAGTTTTGGAAGGGTTGAAGGCTACGAGCCAGGTGTTTGACCACTCATTGATTTTTGCAAGGTCGCTATTAATCAGATTAGATGAATTATATGCGTTTTCAACAATAACATAAAGCGATGTATCATCCGCAAAAAGTTTTAATATACATTCTATATCTACTACCAGGTCATTTATATAAATAAGAGATAGCAGTGGACCAAGAATGCTCCCCTGGGGAACACCAGCTTTAATATATTCTAGTTCCGATTTCGCTCCATTTATTACAACACGTTGCTTCCTTCTGTAGAAATAGTTTTCAAACCATTTGAGCAATTTTCCGGAGATGCCTATTTTTTCTAACTTATATAGAAGGCCCCTATGCCACACTTTATCAAAAGCTTTACTAATATCAAAGAATACGACTCTAACCTCCTTCCCTTGATCAACAGCTTTATAAAAATCACTTGTAATACTCAACAATTAGTTGACCGTAGAGTCATTAGGTCTGAAACCAGATTGCTTTGGTGTTAAAATATCATTTGTATGAATGAATTTTATAAATATTTAAAAACACATCGCTCCATACATTTCCCTAGGACACTAAGTAAAGATATAGGTCTATAATTGCTAACGACATTCTTTGCGCCATTTTTATACACGGGGGTTACATTTGCAATTTTCCACTGATCTGGAACTATTGACTGTTGCAAAGGTAAATTAAATAGCTTACTTAAAGGTTCTGCAAGTTCTGTCGCAGCTTGTTTAAGCAAGGTAGGGTTTATTTCATCCGGCCCAGCGGCTTTATTCGAATTTAAAAGTTGTAAAACGTCCAAAACATCTTCAACGGAAATAATAATATTATTTAACACATTCTTATTTTCATCGGGGAGTGGTGGTAGTTCCCTTCCTGTGTCGTCGACTATAGATTGTGAACAAAAATAAGAATTAAACAAATCAGCTTTACCTTTGATTTCACTCACTGGTAAATTGTTATCGTTTTTATCATTGGCGGATAAGAGCTTCTAGTTGTATTTGAAAATTCGGTAACTCTTTTTAATGTTACCCACCACTGCTTAGGAGATAATGTACCTTATCTAAGTTGATCACTTAGTTTTATGAAATAATATTGCCTAGCATTTCTTGTTTTATTCACGCAAATATTTCTCATTTTTCTAAACCTAGTCTAGTCGTCAGAAGATTTTGTTCGTTTAGCAATTTTGTGTAAACGTTTACGTTTCCTAATAAATAACCTGAGTTCGTTGTGCATCCATGGTGGATCGTTTGGACGAGAAATAATAGTTTTATTCGGTATATTTTCAGTGGAGGTTTCAATTATTGCGTCTGTAACATTATGACAAGCTCATTCAACATCATTACACATCAAATTGTCCCAGTTTTTATTACTTAGATTTATTTGGTAATCATGAAAATCGGTATTTGAAAAAGACCAAATTCTACGCTTTAAAGTTCTTGCATATGATTTAGGAAAGAACAAGGTTCACTTAGGGCCTTTTTTGGCCCTGTGAATTTCTGAAAAACTGAAACTGCTAAGTTTTAGTTGACAATGCATTAAATTTCAATTAGGGGCAAGGATCAGCTATTTGTAAATAATAACGGCCGTCACAGTGAAAAAAATTGTGTCAATATTTTTACACTTTTTCTAGTTAAAAGCATCTATATTTATACCTTCCTTCATGAATTCATAAAGAAAAGATAGTTGCGTTTTTATTTTTTAAGAAAACTGCATCCAAATATAGTTGATCAAAAAGTGACGGGCGTTATGTTGACACAGATAATGCGAATTTTGAGGGTATTTTCGCCCTTCTCGGAACGTTAAAAAAAACACCACATGCATGAATCAGACCATGCTTTCACTTGGAATGAATTAGACAGCTTTTTATGACATATCTGTAAAATAAATAAGGCACAAATAATCGTGACGGAGGTGACGTCAAATTCTCCTGCTATAGCATTTTCATCGTTCTTACTTTCTGCAAAGAAATCGTGTTTTCGGTGTTTTTTTCACTACATGAGGAAATAAAACTAGTTTTTCATTTTAAAAAAGCAGAATAAGGTACATTACTTCTTCCTTTAACTATTTTTTTATCCTGCATAATAAACGGATGTTATATTAGACTTTTTGACAAAAATGGATTTTACAAATTGACAAACTAAAGTTTGCTAGTTACGGAGGTTACATTGACGATGATTTTTAAAGCTTTTCGTAAGTTTTCTTCAGAATACACATGATTTCATACATGCAATGAAGTTAAATACCTCCATCCAAACATTCTGTTAATACTAATTAAAACTATTGAAAGTATTTTCATGAATTTTAAGCACTGTGATGGATGTTACATTATAACATCCGTTACGGTATTTTTCATGTTAGTTACATTTTAACTCCCTACAGTTTTGTAATTTTTATTTAGGAATTTTATTACTTGTTCTTCATCAACCAGTTAACATACAACTGAAGTTTACTGATAAAATTTTATCTTAAATAACATAATAAGAAAAAAAATTGGTATCAGCACAGATTGACAATGGTCAAATCATAACAGGCAATCAGCCAAGAAAATCAATAAGGAGCTGGTAGCATGGTATCTGAAAATAAAATAAATGAGTTTTTATAACCAAAACAGCAAAAAATATGTCCTTAAAATTTCTATGTTACATAATCGAATCACTGTGCTTCTGAAGTTAAGGTTTGACATTGTTTTCTGTCAAACTGTCAAATCCGTATATTTTATGTTAGTCAAAATATAACTGCCGAACTCTATGATCGTAATAATTATAAAAAAATGCTTAAACTTTTGTGTCAAACAATAACAATTATAGATTTCAACACATTGGAGAACATGGTTTGTCCACTTTATCAAGAAATATTATATAAATCTTATTTAGTTATTAGCGTGACGCCTGTTATCTACTAAGAAATATTGACCGACAGTACAAACTCACCCACTTTGCCTCCTTTTTGCATCACGGTCGCTTTTGGTGACGTATACTGCATTTATGTGGTAAAACTAATAGAAAAAAACGAACTGATTCTATATTCCGCATTTGCAAGCCATTTTACGCCCTAGATTACGGACGTTACGAATTTGACCGACACCTGTGTACCTTTGATAAATTTGCGATAATTTAATATTTGAATCCTTTACACAGACGTTATGGAAAAGCACCTGTTGGGTATACTTTTAAGTTAAACCTAACATAAAATACTCGTATATTTTCTTTACACATGTTACAGTTACATATATTTCAATGTTTAAAGTCAACCCATCATGCTGACCGACACTCATAACGTCCGTTATACAATTTCAAGGCTATTTTTCTCGGGCTAATGATAAACAATTGTAATTATTTTTTATCTATAATTGTAAAGTAAACATCTATTTTTCAGAATATAGTTATAAAAAAAAAAGTATTATTAAAGTTATTTTTTAAAAATTGCATTTTTGACACATAGGTTGGAAAATCTCTTATAAGCATGCGCAAAAGTTGGACAATTTTACACAAATTTGGTAATATTAATTTTATTTCTTAAAATAAAAAGATTAAATTGTTTATTCTTTCCTTTTTATATTACAGAAGTATAAATACAACTTTTTGAATTGCAAAAAAAAAATAT